AAGTAGAGACGTACCTCTCCCTTTGCAAGGAAGAGATCAAATTTTCCCACGATTCCGTCTTTCAAGTTTCCAAATAGGTTCAGAATATGTGCTCCAAACACCTCCAGCCTAACCCCAGCCTCCAAGGTGTTTGTATCAAAGTATCCAACTAACTAAGAAATGTCAGTATCTTGACATGTACCTGAGAATAGTCTAACACCCCTTTATTGGCCCGAATGGGAACTCAAAGTCAGGGTCACTTTCTATAATAGCAGGAGAGCCTTCGGGTAGTGAATTGACAGTTGGAATTTGCGTGGCAGTGTAGACATTCGGCTCGCCGTCTTGCGAGCGTTCCTTTGCCACAGAGACAACAAAGCCTACCTGACTTAGCCCTGACTAGTATCGGGATCTGTTGTACGCACCAGCACGGACTTCATTGGTACTAGCAGACATTTTGTTGTACAGTTGTGAGTATCGAGTTACTTTCAATGAGTCTTAGACATAATTAGCTTGACTGATAATAAGCCATGTAGTATGAATGTGAGCCAAATTTATAGCTCAAGCTCACAGGCTACCTGCTTGCGAATGAACCTATCAACTTCAGAACCATATGGTAAAGGCCTAGAATGATTCCTTTTACGAAGTATCATTCCTCTCCTCCCCAATAGAACGACATGACGTTCTCTACGTTGCGGGAATCTGCTCATCAAAGCAGATGACAGCTATGTGGTACATTAGAGCTCCTAGATACCATGGTAAATTTGTGATCACACGAACTTCCTCGGATTAGATGATTTGCGTGATAAAGACACTCCAACTTGATGACTCTCGACGCCAGATAACATTGAGTAAATCAATGGCATTGGGCCAATCGAAGCACTGGGACTATTATTCGGCCTTCTCAGCTGATCTTCATGGCAAGCCACTTGCGACATGATTGTTGCCTACATTGCAACTTTGTGTTGCATTCGACTGACCCTAGTATGTGGGACTCGTTACAAGGCCATCTGCAAATTATTGGCTTGAAATTCCATTTCACACACCTTTCGACTTATTCTTTTCTGCCTAGGCCTAGAACTTCGTGCTTTTTCCACTAACAACACGTGGGGTTTAGACCAGATCCACTTGCTAAGCCCAAAATAGACTATTAACATTTCCTTGACAATTTCCCGACTACAACAAAACTTCCACGGAGTGCAATATGAGGCCAGTCAGAAGAAAAAGACCCTGCTGTTTGTGGAACCTAGCACTCAGTGTGCAGGTGGTCCACTCGCTCCTTGATCAAATCTTGCATTCACTACATACATGCGGATATCCGCCTTGTCACCACCCTCATCAGTATTCTTGACTGTGAATTTGATCTCACCCGCTCCATCTTTATCAATGATAGTGCTTCCAATGTGCTGCCCGTCTAGATCGTCGGTATTTTCACTGATACCTTCAAACAGCTTCGTTTCATAATTCACCTTGACTGACTGATCCCCCGGTGTTAAGCTGAAGGTTACATACAACTCGACACGGATTTCGCCGCCCATACGTTCCACCCAGGACTGGTATCCCGTGTAGCGATCAGGGGCAGCCAGGATCACTGGTGGAAAGGATCGCATTCGCGTGGCGTATTCATGTGGGAGGAGCCATTCATCGTCGGTGATATTCATAACACCGGAGAGGCTAACGAGTCGTAGGGAAGACATTTTGGAAGATACTTGTGGCAGTGTATGAATGTCATGAGTCTGGGATCGGCGTAGTACTGGGGAATCTAACCGGTTTTTATCGGCATTAGATTTGCGTGAGCTTAGTGTCTTTCGTTCAGATCAGTTCTGCAAGTATAGAATACGATTCAAATCCCTGGTTTAACGTGAACTTTAGAGCCGCCCCACAAGTTAAGGTAGTCATTCCCGATCCTTAAAATTAAGTTTCGTGGGGTTTTATAAGCCAAAGTAATACCAATTTAGAACTCAATTATATTTGCTTTAGAGTAAATGGTCATCTCATTCCACTGGCGCCTTTTGAACCTAGCTTGATTTCCAATTGGTATACACAGAGTATGAAGGAGCATAGACAACCAAGGTTTATCAGTCTCTGTGCAAGTTACACGAGCAAGTGCCGCTAGAACTCTAGGGTATCAAGGAAGGTTTTCCGTATTTTGGGAGCTCTAATTCGTTGTTCCAACTTGGCTAACTTTGCCTTGTACGCCCAAGGACTTTACGTGACATGAGCCCAGAAGGTGGTTAGCTATGGGCTAGAACATACTCGGAATTTAGTTCTATGTATCGCTACGGGTGCAATTTAGAGCTTCGGGATAATAAAATAATGCAATCTTGGTTTTCAATAGCGTTTTTTGGTAAAGGAAGTTTAAGGTTGACTTCAGAGATCCTGCATGTTCCTAAGCATCCCCCGACCTTAAATTGATGGAAAACGTCAATGCCATCCCAATGTGTCTAGATGGTAATGCCGTGGGTGGCCATGTGAGCTACCTCCTGCCCTGTATGTGATAAGAAAGATTAAGATGGCCATATTAACAAACCGTCTTCTGCAATATCTTATTATAAATCAAAGTAAGTATACAAAGTCCAGTCACTTCCCGATCAGAAATTGGATCTGAGGATGGAAAGGTCGCTGAGAAGTAATATATCTGCGTGATATTAGAGTTATTGCAGTATATTAGATGATTTCTAAGTCATTAAAGTGTTAAGGTCTATGATCGTTGGAAATTAATCACGTAGGCTTCGGCCTCTCAGAACGAAACATGTCTTAGTACATCATTGTCATCTGCGCTCGCTTTAAGGGACGCAGGCCCTTGTCTTGATGGGCTTCGGCGTTCTAGACGCATGTCAAGCCGAAAACGGGAAAGAAAGTCAACCACACGAATTGCTGTCTGAACTGACCTCGTATTTTGCCGAATGGTGCCCCTCAGGCTAGGTGACCACGGTTCAGAAGCCGAACCTAAAATTTAAATGTTTGACTCTAGACGTCCTGGATCAGCTAGAGCCGGCCAGAATTATCCTGCAAGGCCTGCAGGAATCCAAGCGGGCGTTCGCTGTATACTCCAAGCCATTCACGCCTCTGAAGGTGGAAACTTTTGCAATGCACATCTAGTAGCATCACACCAGTCGCGTTGTGGTTGCGGAATGTAGCTGCGAAGAGGGGCAAAGGGTATTTACTAGGAGGGCCTCACATCCCACTGTTTGGTACGGAGGGAGCTTCGTTCTCCGATCGCTCGTAGCGGAAATCTGATGTATTAAGATTTTGTACATGGTCAAATAGATATACAAGGGTCCTCCGCCCATATCATCTCTTGGCTCGCTATTCGTGAACTGGAACTGAAAGGCCGTAATTGGTCCGTCTGACTTGTCTTAAGTCTGAGCGGAATTATTGGACATAGGACATACCTTCTGAACCAGATTTCTTCAGCATGGAGATGATCCGGCTTCTTTCGTCTGGTCTGGAAGATACGCCCATATACCAAAAATTCTACGAGTCCGCGTATATTTGGCTAATACCAATCGGTTTTCTCATGTATAGGAGTCAATGTTTCGATGCATTCAACTCATGGTTCACTCGTAACCACCGACCGTTGTGACAGGCCATGTATGACAGGGCCCTGGAGAATGCTTGTCTTGTCAATGCATGGGAATGTGGGAAGTGGAGAGAGCAAGATAAAGAGGTAAAGAGTGACATAAAGATGATTTAAAAAATGGTGAGAGATGGTGGAACATAATGAAGCAATGACAGAAAGGATATTCTGCATATTATACACTGGATGGGACAGCTCCCAACATTTCCATTGAAGAAGCCACTTTAGGTCAGTTCAGTAGCTGAACTAAATGAGTAGATCCCAGTGAATCTTCAGAAAATTTAATATGGGGGGTTAAGCTACCTGGGACACACTCCAGTCTTTCATACACATTTATAAACGGTATTTCTTCGAAGGGCAGAGCAGATACATAACCCACCCTTCTCCCTGGAAGATGAGAGGGGTGTGATCAAGCAGCTATCCTTCAACAGTAAAGTGACGGCTTCATACTAATGTTGTGTAGAAGAATCCTACCCAAGTACATTTACTTTCCTGATTGTATTGTCCTAGGTGGCGCCTCCGGACAGTGCTCGCACTTGAATCATTCGTGCTGGCAGTTGCCACAGTCGTAATCGTGGATGATGTCCCCGTTGATATTGTACTACTCGATCAGAACATACTTTTTGTCGTGTCGGCGTCCGCAAACATTGTCTGTAACAGCGCAAAAAGAATTTATAGCTGATTACTTCAAAGAGACCTTAATACTGAGATACGGGAACGCTAAAATCAGAAGCCTTTTCTACAATACTGCAAAGAAAGAGAACCCAAATGCGCTAATCGCATCCTAGCTCGGCGCGACTGTGGATTTGCGTGGTCGTCGTATCTTTAATTAGTAGAGTAACTAGAGGAGAGCGTGACTGTGGCAGTAGAGTTGCTGGCGAGTGTCTCGGCGCAACTTAGAGAAGTAATACCACCGAAACGGTGGGCTCCGCCGTCCTACATCTTAAATCGCGCGCACTAATCCCCAACAACAGGCGATAGAGATGCCAGTCCCAGCTCTCCGTGTCAGGAAACGTATGTAGTAGACGATGAGGCTAGAGTGGGGCAATACTTTGTCTCCGATATCACAAACTCGCCGGTCACAAAGGCTGGAATGTAGACATCTGGACATTCACCAGCGTGATAGTATGACAGTGAGGAAGTCCAGCCAATAAATGAGCCTGAATGACTGAGCAGATAAGTTGTCGGTCATTAAGCCAACCACTATATAAATATCTGCTCTGATTAAGTAGGTACATACGACCACAGGGTGTGGAAAATAGGGCTTCCCGTCCGCTCAGCCGTACTCAAGCCACACGCCGGGAGGTTAGTAGTTGGGTGGGTGACCACCAGCGAATCCCTTCTGTTGTATGTTTTTGCTCTTATTCTGATTCGCTTTGTTTGGTTGCCAATTATTTATTTTGTCCATTTTGAAGAAAACGCCTGGACCTGTTCTGAGCGTCGCCTATTCCTGCCCATTAGCTAGCAGTATCCGGCCGCCATCAATGCAAAGAGAGATACCATCCACATACGACTGCAACAGCTTCATTAGCATTTGCAACAAGGAAGGGGAATGGCATCTTACTCCAGCCCTGCTGACCAGATACAACACCGTCCCTGCAAGATCTTCAGACCTCCCAGCTCGTTTAGCAGGGACCTTGTCAAACAAGCCGCTGAACATATTCCCCGCTGCACCAACGGGGTTCATGTTAGAGGGAACAACTACTTCAAAGTCAACATAAACTCATTCAAACTTAATAGTCGCACGAGAGAGGCTGGAATGAAAAGAAGACAGCAACACCCACATCCAGGATTTATCCCCACTACCCGCACATAAAACCGATGAAACTTCGCAGCCAACAACTTCACCAAATGATCTGTCGCCGCTTTGCTCGTAGCGTAGCTCGTCAGGTCCACATTCGTCGCATTATGCATACTCGCACAAGAGCTGGTGATGACTACCACGCCTCTCCCATCGTCCTGACCTCGACGACCATCATCTAGTTGCTGATCGGCCGCGGCAGCCAGGAGAGGAAGAAACGCAACACTAAGGAAGTAATGCGCTGTTGTGTTGACTTGAAAAGTATTGGCCCAGTCTGATTCTCTGCTTGACCACATTGACTCCTGCAGCTCGGCCAGGGTCGCAGTGAGAACATTGCATGCGATAGGAGGGTCCCGTCGAATCCCGGCATTGGATATGAGCATGTCGAGTTTAGTTTCTTTGCCAGAGATTATCTCAGCAAGTTTGAAAATGGACTCCTTAGAGGACAAGTCGCAGGCGTAGCTTGATTGCGGGTTAAGTATTGAACTGGACTATTGATAAGGGGATTTGGGAAGGTATTTGTCAACACGTACCCTTCAGCGCTTCCACCTGATTCAGTTCCACATGCGTTCAAGTCCTGTACTGTTTGGTCGATGGGGTCACCTGGAAGTGCGACTATGTAGACTTTGGCGCCGTTGATGACAAGGCCCTGAGATGGCGGCTACTATGAGTATTTGCTACCTTAAGTCTAGGGACTGATTTACCTGGGAAATCATTCGTCCTATTCCGCTACTTCCACCGGTGACTAGGGCGATGCGGCCCTTGACGCTCATTATGTCTTGTGTCGATAGTGATTCCATTTCGGATGTGAGTGATGTGTTTTGGAGAGATGCGACAAAGATGTGGAAGGGCCATGTCGAGTGGGAGGGGACGCTCCCCGCTTTATGTGGCTTGTCTGCTTGTCGGATCGACCGACGCTCCAGTACCAGAACCAGATTTTATGAGGCGGCACTGCCTATAGACTGCAACTAGAACAAACTATGATATTTTCAATTTTCATGTTGCTAAATTTACTAAAAAAGTGTCGAATTTCCTACAATATCACTCCCTGTAGTGCTCCTTAGTCCTCAATTCAGCCGCCTCCAAGCACTGTCGAGTCAATACATCATCCCGCGGAATTAACCTGACCTTGAAATCCCTCGGAATAGCCACGAGAGCTGTCTTGAATTGATTGTACTCGACGTAGTCAGTGTTCGGAGGTTGATCTTCACTGGCCACAATCTTATACGACGAGAGAATGCGCACCAGTGCCGTGTATAGCAGCCTGATTGCGATAACTTGCCCCGAACAAGCACGAGATCCGGCCCCAAAGCTCAGATGCGGTAGTCCTTGGATCTCCTTCTCACGGGGAGGGTCGACGGATTTTAGCCATCGCTCGGGATCGAATCTGCCTGCATCAGGTCCAAAGTGGTCAACGTCTACGGTTGAGTTAGCAGGATGTTCTGATCGTGGATATCTGGAAATGCTTACCATGGTTACCCGCTTGCGCATTTATCAAAACCATCGTTTTCGGAGGAATGATAGCTCCGTTCCAGTTCACTTCTGTCGCAGTTTTCCGGGGTAAACTCATGGAACTGACTGTATAGTATCGCCCTGCCTCTTTGACGATGGCATTCACATAGGGAACCTTCTCCTCATGTATAGATGCTAGCCAGGCGTCTTCTGTATCTGGGTAGTATCTTTTTATATCCTCATATGCTCTGTCTTGCCAGACCTGGCCTTCTGGGGTGGACAACGAACCGATGACTGAAGTCAATGTCCCCGGGATTGTTTCGAATCCACCAGACACCAGCGAAAGACAGATAGAGGAGACCTCAACACCACTAAGCTTAGTCTCTTCATCCTTGAGAATAGCAGCAGAAATGCATGGCTTATCTGTTCCCTTTTTGATCATATCGCGAACTTTGTTCAAGAGGAGATTGAGGTAAGCGTCTCGACGCTCCCTAAGCTCCTTGGATCGAGCGGTCTTCTCATTATTCGGTGCATAACGTAAAATAGGAATATAGTCCTGCAGATTCTCCGACGCACTTCGCAGCAAGGATATCGCTGATCCCACATGAAGGATTTCCCGGAGAAGGTCATCATAGACTTCGTCCATGCGAATACCGTAGCATAGAGTCAAGGTCGTATTGAGGGCGTACCTCTGAATATATGGGCGAATATTGAGTTCCACTTGGCCGTTTTTACTGTCGCGAAAGAGATCTCGGACAATACAGTAGCTTTCCAAATCAAACATGGGATGATAATTCCTCAAAGCTGGCCTGCCCAATGCCGTACCAGCTGCCTTGCGCTTCCTCTTACAGGAATCGTCCCAGGGAGACGAGCCAATGGTGAATCCTTGAGTACTGCTGATAACCCCGTGAAATGTATACAGCTTCGGCCGATCGATGATTGCATTTTGATGGCCTAATAACACGGTGCGACAGTCTTCGAAGGAGTTGAAAACGACCGCCCGGGTATTACCGAGCTTGATCTGGAAGACTGAATGACCGTACTGTCGCCACCAGCGCTCACACACACTTGCGTGGTCGTCACCCAATTTCCGAAGATGGCCGAATATTGGAACGGCTCCTGGGATTTCGGGCAACCCTTTGATGTGCGGAATGTCCGTCATCATGGTTGCCTGTCAATGGGAATAACAGTTAGCAGAGGGAAGAGAATCCAGAAAAACTGAAGTGTACCTGGTATAGACAGTAGATGACAATAGCAACTAGGCCCATGATGGCGTAGCTGCTGGGCAGGGCCCTTATCAGTGCAGCGACGCTCTCCATGTTAACCACTGCATCAACCATCCTTCCTTAGTATCAGATCCCAAGTATTTTCGATCGGTCGATGATGCGAAGGATTGGAGCTGTGTGATCAAACCAGTCATCCTTTATATCTTTCCATTCAATTCATCCCTGGCGACACGACACGTAAGCAGAGGATCGGAACGTCCAGGTTGTCGGACGCCCCGACGAGGAATTCGAAATACGTCAAAGGCGCGGGAGCCGACAATGGGCGACCGTCCAATCGGAGAGGGACAATCAGGTCACCACTTGATGCAAGGCGTGCCACAGATGAACCACAATATGATAGCTACAAGTAGCACATCCAATAAGCACTTTACTCAATCGGGTAAGAAGCTGATGGCACCATCGATCCTATCCCACAAAGCTTCGGGCTGATAAGCACTCAACATCCACTCCTCCAGAAGACCACCATTTTCACCCCTTCATCGTGTCTTTACTGATTTTATCATCTCGAACCGTGCAACTAGATGAGCGGTCTAGCCTTGCTGCAAACCGACTGTTATGTATAGTGACGAAGATGGAGCTGCCTCCAAGGAAAGCGAGGCAGCCTATAACGCCCGCATTCGGCTACTGGTATCCATGACTTCGTTCCTCTCATGCCTGGGACTTGCAGCAGCTGTTACAGACGTTGCGGATGATCGAGTGATATTCCTCCAGTCCTTCTTACCCTCAGCTAAATTGAGTCTACTCCATTGGAGCAAGCTTTTGTGGGCAAGTTTCTTCGCGATAAGATTTGGCAGAGCTGCCAGGGAGACTAACGCTTGAGTAGATTCTCATTACATTGCATAGTTTCCAACTTCACTACACAGAGAATCCCCAAATGATTTACACCATTGGGCTACGAGGATCCCTACTAGCAGCGCTCATACTCTCTTCGCTCTGTCTTTCGGATCCTCCAGCAGGTAGCAGTCTCTTGTTTTCACCATCATCCCTGTCTTTGCAAGTCTACGCAGCGATTGGCCTGACAATCACCCAGCTGTTTTTGCCTCGTCGGCCACATCTCTTTACGCCAGATGGCAGAGCTGTGGACCTCGAAAATAGTTCCTCGGCATTCCATAGGTATACTATGCATTGGTGCACAGGTGCCCTGCATCTAGCTGGCAATAATGTGAAGCTTGATAAACTCCCTGCTCTAGACTATTATACTCGGTCGCAAAGCCAGTCACTTCTTCAGGTAGCAACCTCGAAGACTTCGTTGTGGTACCGCATATTATATGACCGCTTTGCCGGTTTCGCCAAACAATGGATTATAATGCTTACAAGATCTCTCGTCACATTTGTGTCTCCTTATTGTGTCATGCGGCTTTTGAGGAGTCTGGAAGAACAGCCTGAATCAAGGCACGATGCTTGGTTTTGGCTGATAGGGATTGCTCTATCGTGCTTATGCCAAACCCTACTTCACCACCATCTACTGTGGATACAGTGGTCTGAAATGGCAATTCCTGTCAGGGCACAACTGATCATGGCAATCTTTGCCAAAGCGCTAAAGATGAAAGATTCTAAAGACCCCCAAAGTCCTAAAGTTGAGAAACCTGAAGCCATTAATCTCATTTCGTCCGACAGTGCTTCTCTCAGTAAATTCACAGCTGTCAACCACTATATACCAGCCACATTATCCAGATTTCTTTTTGCTGTGCTATTTCTAGTACAACTAGTTGGATGGCAGGGTACCCTTGCTGCCTTGGTTGTTACTGCGATAAGCGTACCGCTTCATACATTCGTTATCAAGCAGGAGCGCATGGCACAAAAGCATCTTGCTGCAGCAAGAGATAAGAAGACCAAAGCAATCAACGAACTCATGTATGCGCTTCGACAGATCAAGTTCTCTGCTTCAGAAGCGCAGTGGGAGGACCGTTTGGATACCTTACGACAGGATGAGCTTAAACAGCTACGCAGGGTCTTTGTTGCAAAGAACGTAAGATCTGTATGGAGCGTTGCGTCCCCATTTATTGTCGCCGCGGCTTCAATCTTTATCTACGCATACACCACAAGCTCAATTTCCCCCTCCATTCTTTTCCCCATGACTGAGCTTTTGCCCCATCTTCAATCAACACTGGGGTTTCTTCCTGTTGTATTCAATGATTATTTCGAAGCCAGGTCCAATGGGAGCCGCATAGAGAATTATTTGAGAAGACCAGAACACAAGACAGTGCTTACTCCTAGCCCATCCGGCCATATTTCATTTCATAATGCGACCATTTCGTGGCCTTCCGATTTGTTGCAACAGCATCGCTTTTCTCTGAGCCAAATCAATGTGAATTTTCGCGCTGGTGAGCTCAGCATAATATATGGAAAGACAGGATCAGGAAAAAGTCTGTTACTTGCTGCAATTATTGGAGAGGTTGACCTCCTGGGCGGTACTATCAAAGCCCCATCGATGGCTGAAGGGCAATCAGTTGCATTCGTATCGCAAACTCCGTGGCTTCAGAACACCACAATAAAAGAAAATATTCTCTTTGGGAATCCAATAGACGACAAGAAGTATGAGGAAGTATTGAAAGCCTGTGCACTATATCCCGACCTTGCTGCCTTGCCGAAGGGCGACGAGACCCAGATTGGCCTCCGGGGTGTCAAGCTTAGTGGAGGCCAACGCGCGAGACTTGCGCTTGCTAGAGCACTATACTCAAGTGCAGAGACATTGATACTCGATGACATATTTGCTTCTCTTGATGCTCATGTATCCAGGGATATATGCAAGGCACTCACCGGTGCCCTTTGCAGAGGCCGCACGCGGATCCTAGTTACTCACCAGGTATCTCTGTGCCTGCCAGAAGCAAACTGTATTGTCCATGTAGAAAATCAAACTGCAAAATACGCAGAAGGAGCTGAATTCGTTGTGGAGAAGCAGAATGAAGTCGAAACTGGTAACTCCATGACAGCTGACCTTCCCAGACAGGAGAAATCGAAAGAGCGTGCAACCACGCTGGCAAAAAGCAAAGGTCTTGACGCGCGTACAGACGCAAAGGTATATGATATATATTTCACCGTAGCAGGTGGACTGTGGTTCA